AATATCTTTAACTGGACCAAGATACATTGCACTCATGCTGGGAAAACTCATTTTGCAAGCTGCTGCCATATACAGTGATTGGATGTATTTTTTATTTTAAATAAATAAATAAAATGAAAGGATTGGCTAAAAAAAATGTCCTTGTATTTAATTAAAATCCATTTGGTTCAAAAAGAAATGTTACCCACAGGCTAAAAATATATCTTGAATAATTTCACACATAATAGTTCTTATTTCTCAAGACTTATCCCTCCTGACCCAAGACCTAGCCAGGACAGGCTAATCACAAGCCATCTACATTTGAGCTCTGAGTGGCCCCTTTCAGGGACTAGGTTAACTGAAGATTTTCTGCCTAGACTTCACCCTTCTGAACCCAAGATCTAATCAGAATCTGTTGTACAAAAGGAGAAAAATGGTACTGCAGAGAGATTGCATGTTAACTCCTCCTAATACGCCTCTGAACACTCAGATTCAACTCTAAAGATTTAGGGAAAAAAACATAATCTATTAGACAACCAGAAACCACTGCAAAGGTACAAATAATAAGAGAAACCAAGAAAATATCTCTCCCTCAAGGGAAAAGAATAACTCCTCATCCTCTACAGACAAAAAAAAGGAACTCATGGAAATGTCAGATAATGAATTTAAAATATACATAGTGACAAAGCTAACAGAGATGCAAGAAAAGAGAGGCAATAAACTGCAGAAGATGCAAGAGGAAAGAGGTGAGTTCCAGGAGGTGAGGAAGTTCTTGCATGATCTGAAAAAGGAAATACACACCATAAATAAGAACAAAATGGAATTGTTAGAGATGAAAGCTGTAATACAGGAAATCAAAACCTCCCTTGAAAGTTGTAAAAGCAGAATCTCGACCACTGAAGACCCTCTGCCCAGACTTCACCCTCCTGCCCCGTGATCTAGCCAGGAACAAGGACAAGCTAGTCAGTAGTCATCTATATTTGAGTTACAAGTGGCTCCATTCAGGGATCTTGACCACTGAAGACCCTCTGCAGAGACTTTACCCTCCTGCTCCCCAGTCCAGCCAGGTGCCAGGATAAGCCAATCAGCAGCAATGTATATTTGAGTTACAAGTGGCCCCATTTAATTTTTTCACACAAAACCTGAAAGAATTTATCAATACCATATCAGCATTCTAAAAAGTGCTAAAGGGAGTGCTATACCAGGAAAACTAATTGGATACAGAAATAAGAGTACAAAAAACAACCAAGAGAATGGCCAGCCTAATGGTAGGGACAAGTCCATAGTCGAATGCTAACTTCCAGAGTTTATTTAAGGATTTTTGTCTTCTCTTGAACTGTTGATAGGTTCTACCACTTGAACTAAATCCTAACCTTTATCCTGGCTTTAAGTTCTAAGCAAATTTCTCTTAACATTTTTTGATTTTGATCTATTAAAACTAAAACATTTTTCTAAATTAAAAAAAATGCATTAAACATATCTATTATTGCCTACTTAATGACTGAAGTAAGCTATATAGTCCCAGTGAGATGCTACTTTATAGTATGTTCACTTTACTCACTGAAGTTTATGCCTAAAGTCAGACATGCTTCTTAAATATGTATATATTAGCTATGCTTAATATTGAAAGTCTTTAAATTAATTAAGATCTTTAGTAAATCAATAAAATGTGAAAAAATGGCATGGAAAACAACCGTATATACCAGAGACAGTGTGGAAGAGGGGGAGAAATTGGCAGAGGCTGAGAAGTAGGGAACTGGGGGGGCAAAATATATAAGAAGCAAGAAATAGAAAATTACTTGTTGATGATAACATGTGTGGTAATATCCTTTATTGAGTCAATATACAATGTATACTGGATAGAAAATCTCATTTTGTATACTGTATTGATGTATAGTAAATTACTGTAAATAAATACATTTAAAAATAAATAAATAATAACAATAACAAAATAAATATATAAAAGCATTCTAATCTCAAAAAAGAGAAAATATTAAAACAGAATAAATCATGCAGAAGACCAAATCTCAGATATAGAAGAGAGAACCTCTGACCTAGAAAAATTCACTAGAAAGATTGAGAAAATATCCCCCCAAAATGAGACTAATATATGAGTAATACTAGATACCATTCAACATGCAAACATCTGGATAACTGGTATCCCAGAAGGTGAAGAAACTAATAAGGGCATTGATAATCTACTCCAAGAAATCCTGGAAGAAAACATTCCAAACCTAGAGAGGCATTCAAAGTTCCAGACTGAAGAAATGCAAAGGACCCCACAAAGAATCAACTCAAGAAAATTTTCTCCAATGAACATCATAGCCAGATTGTCCAAAACCACAGAGACAAGATACTAAAATTGGCAAGAGAGAAACATCAAGTTACTTTCAAAGGATATCCCATTAGGTTAACATTAGACCTCTCTTCAGAAACAATGCAAGCAAGGAAAGAATGGGAAAATATATTCAAAGTGGTAAGTGAAAAACAGTTTCAACCAAGAATACCATACCCAGCATGATTATCCTTCATATGAGAAGAGAAAACAATCTCAGATAAACAAAACATGAAAGAATTTACCAATACCAAATCAGCTCTCCAAGAATTTCTGAAGTGAGTGCCAAACCAGGAAAACTAAAGTCAGACACACAGAAATATGACTACGAAAAACAACCAAGAGAATGGTCAACTTAATGGTAGGAACAAGTCCAGAAAGATCAATAATAACATTGAATGTTAACTTCCAGAACTCAAACAGAAAGTTCAGACTACAGTAAAACTGAAAATTCAACAGAAGAGAGATTAATTACATGAGACTAAACTGGTGAAATAGAATTGTATGGCCTTTTACTAAAACATTATTGATTTTCTTCTATGCTTTGTTTTTCAGATTTAAAGATTTTTGTCTTCTCTTGAACTGTTGATAGGTTCATCTACCTACTGTTTAAATTAAATCCCAACCTTTTTTCCGGCTTTAAGTCTTAAACAAATTTCTCTTAACTTTTTTTATTTTGATTTATTAAAACTAAAACTGTTTTTTAATTAAAAAATTCATTTAAAAAATACCATTTGATGACTGCAGTAAGTTATATAGCCCCAGCTAGGTGCTACTTTATAGTATGTTCATTCTACTCACTGAGGTTTACGGCTAAAGTCGGACATGTGTTCATCGATATGTACATATCAGCTGCACTTGCTACTGAAAGTATTTAGATTAATTAAGGTCTTTTGTGAATCAATAAAATGTGGAAATCATTGTTTTTGAAGGAGAAAGAAGAAAGAAAATAAGACTTTGTAAAGTCATCTTAATCGTGAAATTGTTTCGATTTTGTTTGGGTCTTTTAGAATTTTGGTTTTGTGTGTGTGTGTCTGTATTTTCAGTTGTTTTTGTTTAAGGTTTTTGCCATAGGGCACATGTGCTTGCTGGAGAGAGACAGAGACAGAGAGAGGGAAAGTGAGAGATTATCCCCAGCAGGGATGGCCACACCATAATTTCTTCTCCTCCAGTCTCCTCTCAGGATTTTGGGTGTCCATGTATACCTGTCTGGCGTGATTTTCAAGCTGCTGTGTTCAAGACTTGAAGCATGGTCAGCTATGCGGAATACATCACCTTAAATACCACGCTACCTGCTGGCAATCTATTGGCTCAGATTTTGTTTGTTTTTAAATAGTTCTTAACTGGCATGTGATAGTTGTATATATTCATGGGGTACAGTATGATATTTTTCAGTACATGCATATAATATGGAATAATTTATAATAGTAAACATGCGTCACCTCTAAAAAAAAAATAGTCCTCATTTCTCACACATATGTAACTTTAAGTACCTTATATTCCCTGGATAGTCAGTACCAAATCGCTTTTATTCCAGACTACCAAAAACATGGTGGACTATTTATTTTGCTAAATATTCCTATGTAGTATCTACAAGAAACTATAAAGTAGTCATATGTCAGATGAAAGTTATCTATATACAAAGGACAAATTTCCTTTCTCTCATAAATTATCTAAACACTTTGTTATAAAAAGCACTCTCTACACAAAGAACCTATAATGCTTGCTCATTTTGCCTTTAGTTTAACTCACTGCTGCTATTAAAGGCAGTGACAATAAACATATTTCTCTCAGTAAGTGTCATGTTCTCTTATAATCTGAATGCCAGACATTGTTTTCAAGTGATTAAAAGTCACATTAGGGAAGAAAAAAACATGTGACTATTAATACCTTTAACATAAAATAAGCAATTTCAGAGGATAGAATCATGGCTTTACAATGCTGACAGTTAAGAGATAAATACAATATTATTATTTATCTGAAATGTTATCTTAACAGGACATTCTATACTGTTATTTGCTAAATCAAGCAACCCTATGTAATTTACCTAACATTGTGGAGGGCACTGCATACGGAAGTTATCTTGAGCTATCCCATCTTGAGCTATCCACCATCTTGGAAACCATTAAGTTTCACTTCCTCACTGAGCACACCGGTTCTCAGAAATCATGTGACCAACTGTTCTCCCTGTGGGGCCGTTGGGTTTCTAGGCAATGGGAAAGATCCACCCACACCAATGATTGGGTCATGCTATTCTATCTCATTTGCATTTCCGGCAACCAATCAATGCCCACCAGCCTGTATATAACTCGACATTCTTCCTCAATAAAGAAGACTTGATCAGCACCCCGTCTTGTCTCCACTCTGTGTGTCTGTGTGTTTGTCCCTTCTCTCACTCCGTCCCCCAGGAAACTGCTCAACTGTCCTACAGACCGGGACATAGTATGAAACATTTGATAATATATATCTTTTTATTTTAAGTAAAAGACTAGTTTTGATTGTTTTTCTCTTCTCCAGGTTCCACCTCTCAAAAGGTTCTAACTACCACAAGCACATAAACAAATGAATCATTTTCCAGCCAATGTTTTATCATAAATATCCCTTTGATTTTAACAAAATCAGGTTCCCATTAGTAAAATTGTAGTCTACAAAGCATATATTCTGAAGATTTCAACATTTTACCTACCTGTGAGCAACAAATGAGAAGGCCGCATAATAAAATATTTCTTTCTTTCACTTTCTTTGCCAATTCCCTAATTTGCAGTAGCTTTTCCATTGTCTGACAGAGAGGTGTTAATTCAAAATCAAGAAAATGCACCTGCAAAATACAAGAGGTGGTAGTAAGAAAATCATTTCATTCAAAATTTTCCTGGAAAAAAAAATTAAAAAGCTCAAAACACAAACAATATTGCAATTATATTTAGGAACATTAATTTCTAGTCATTTTCAAGCTGTACATATTCACTGAGGTCAATACATCTTTTATTATAAATACAGATATCATAAACGCTCTTGAAAACACATTTGAGAAGCAAAATGTTAATATTCTAATTTACGTTAGAGTTAAATGCATACATATGATTTCCCCAGTTCATTCAACTTATAATTTGTAACTAGGCTAGATAGAAATATAAACTAGATTACATATATGCTAATAATTTAACAATACAAAAGTAATTCAAATGGAATCATCTAATTAAGTAGATAAAGATTTTTAGAAGAATCCCTTTAAAAGCAACTAGTAAGTATTTCTAAGAAATAATTATGTATTGCTTAAAGTAAATCCTTAGGGCTTTTATACAGAATAATGTTTTAGTAGTATTATGTTTTTCTTGAAAATAATCAAATAATCTTTTTAAAAATATTACTTTTTATTTAAATTGCAAGGATTTCAGGGTGATCTTTCCTCATTTCCCCAAATTATTAATGTTTTGTGATATTGTGGGATTTTTTGCTTTATAATCAGTATATTAAGGAGACATTCATACATCTCAAGAATTGCTTAAATTCTGTTAATCCAGATTTAAGCATGTGAACATTTTTTACTTTAAAACATACAATTAAAGCTACTCCTCAATATCTGCTATACCACCAATATCGAATTACAGTTAATTTGGAGCATAGGTTACATGATTTAAAGTAAACCTGTAATACCTAACAAACAGCTTTCTATATCACACATGCAGATAAATTACTTATCCATATAATTGTTTTACTTTGCAAGTTACCCAGCTCCAGAAATCACTACTTAGGGGCTTTTCATGGTCCAAAAAGAAGAGGTGTGGGAGTAACCAGGATTGGTCACATATACATACATACATACATACATACACACACACACATACACATACATATAATTTTTAAAAATATGTATATACAAAAAAGATGACACAGCAGAAGGGAATTCAATTCTAGTGTTAGCCCTCAAGAAGCAGCACATCATGATAAACCCATTCTTTAGAAAGGTATGATAGAAATGATACCTTTGGTTTATTATGCCATCCATCTTCAAGTTGAGGCAACAGAATAAATGCAGAGGCATCACCACAAGTCCCACTTAATACAATTAACTATGCAGACCAACAGACATTTTCCTACAAATTGCTTTTTCTCCTTTTGCTTACTAGTTAAATACAGGATTTAAATTTCATAACTTGACAATGAGGGGTCATACACTGAAGTTAATACATGTATCTAGCATTTCGGTCTAAGCTCATCCATGTACATAGCTGAAATCAATTACAAGGAAGGCCTGACAAATGCCAGGGAAACATTATAGTCTTTACAGCTATTAAAACTACATCTTGCGGGACCAGCAGTTAGCGTAATGGCTTTGTCTCTGGACTCCCATGTAGTCGACCGCGGTTCGCGTCCCGGACGCAGTGGCTTAAAACTCATGCCCAGCACGTGTGCGTGAGTGCCCAAGATCCCGAGAGGAGAACGGAGGAGAAGAGATTGCGGTGTGGCCATTCCCCCTGGGGGGGTGATTTCTCACTTTCTGTCTCTCTGTCTCTCTCTGTCTGTCTGGTGAGTGCACGTGCCCTATAGCAAAAACCTCTCCAAAAAAAAAAAAAAAACTACATCTTGCACACTGAAATCATCATACATACAGGGAAAATCAGAGTTTTTATATTTGCATTTTTTCTTTATTTAAGTTTTAAAACATTACTATCGATGAATATTAAAACAAAAACAATAGCAAGTAGTAAGCATATTATGATTATAGTCCTTCATTCATTCACTACTGCATATAAAATGCCAGTGGTGAGCGTTATGTCCTGGCCCTAATAAGAGATTTGACACTGAACACCACCTCAGGGTGATTTACATATGCTTTACATATGATTTACATATGCTCATATGCTTCTCCATTGTAATGGCTTCATCTTTCCTGATTTGGATCAAAGTCCACCAGTTCTAGTTGGCCCATTTCATCAGTCTTTTCTGCTTCCATCCTCTCAGGTGGAAATTTTTCCAGTAAAGAGAGTTTATCAGGAGACAGAAAGCCATTCTCAGGGAAGTTTACCTTAAATTTGGTGATTAGGTGACCATTTTCATATAGTCTACGATAAATTGCCTGCCTCCCTTTAACATACACTTGATATTACCATGCTTGACGATCTGACCTGGATGAGAGCTGATGACAATGCTATGCTTGTTAAGAGTATAAATTGGCTTTTGGAAGCCACATAATGCTTCAGGCAGCTGTATGTCCATACAGATCCAAAGATCTTCTCATTGAGTAAAAACAGAATGATCTTTTTGATCTAGTACTATGATAATATCTCCTGGCTCCAGTCCTGGTTCTTGGTCTCCTTCACCGTGGAATGTTATCTACTGGCCATCTTCCATGCCTTTGTCAATATGAGTTTGCAGAATCATCTTCTCTAGAACTATCTTCCTTCCATTACAACTTTCACATCTATTTTTAGGACTGATCCATTCCCCATGGCCTTGGCATTCCATGTATACAGATGGAATTTGTCTGATGAATTCTTATTTGCATTCCAGTACCTCAACATTTGGGATAGCATTCTACTGCTCCTTTCTTAACACCTCAGCCTTCACATTTGTCACAAATCACATTCTTTTGCAGAGCCAATTTCTTGTTGCACCATTATATAAATCTTCTTAGTTTACTGACTGCTGATGTACAACATTTTCACCTCTTCTTTCTCTCTGCATCCTTCCTCCTCCTCCAAAAAACATATCAAAGATGTCCATTGGGGAGCCCAAACCACCACCTGCTCCACCCTCTTTAATTGCCTGCTCTCCTCCTTTGTCATATAAATCCCTTTTCTTCACATCAGAGAGAACTTCAAAAGCTTGAGAAATCTGTTTAAACTTCTCACCTTCATTTGGATTCTTGTCAGTGTGCTACTTCAAGACCAGTTTCCTATAAGCCTTCTTCAGTTCTTCTTGGGTGACATTGGGTTTGACCCCCAAAATATCATAGCAAGTGGTTTCTTTCACCATTTTCTGCAGCCAGTGAGTGGGCTGAGGCTGGAGTGGGGAGTGGGAAAGTGTGCACAGCTGTCGATATTGTTTGTTTCTTATGGGACATTAAAGATCTAAATAATAGCCTCGAAAGAAACAACGTAAATGTAAATGCATACAGAATAAACACTCATAAATGTGCCTTCTTTTACATATCACTTTTTTTAAAGATTCACTTTAGTTATTATTAGTATTATTATTTTAATTCATGATCAAAAGAAAGAAAATGAGAAAGCAAGCCATCAGGTCCAGGACTCGAATCCTGATCGGATATGTGGGAGTCCAGAGCTATAACACCACAGAACTTGCTGGCCCCTCCAATATCAAATTTTGTAAACCTTTTAAGAATTATAAATTTACCAATTAAATGTACTTACTAACTAGAAGGTTCAAAATATGTCCCAGCCTTACATTCTCATATTAATCCCTTCCCTTCTCTCTGCTCCCCTACATGGAAATACACTCTATAGAAAATATACAACATCTTTCTCTGCACTTTCTGTAACACATGGGAATGGGTTTGATTTTTTTTTTCTATAGAATGCATGCACTCATGAGAAAGACAGATGAAGAGTGAGAAATTGAGAAATGATCCCCCAAGAGGGATGGCCATGCCACAATCCCTTCTCTTCCAATCTCCTTGAAATTTTGGGCATGCACACATGCCAAGCATGATTCAAGCCACCAGGTCTGACACTCAAACCATGCAGTCATGTGGGATCTATCACCTTAACTTCCATATCACCTGCTGGCCCCAGGAATGATTTTTTAAATTATCATATTGCATTCTGCTTTTCCAGGGTAAAATACTTATATAACATCATTTTTAAAAGAGAATTACATGATTCCGTATCATAGATATTAATTTAGTAGATATTTAATCGCTATTTCTTAGAACTTTTTTCATTGAACACATACACATATAAACACAGCTACTTTCTCCTAAAATTTGAGATGACAATAAAGACTATAAAATTTCCAGTCCAGAATGAAACCAAAAGAGTAGACAAAGGAAGAAAAGTCCTGTACTCAGTAATAGCAAAAAGTAAAAATTTTAGGTTTTTCTATCTGCTAAATAACTGAAGAAAAGACAATGTAATTCTGTGACCTTGAGCTCACCTTCTCCTATTCCCTGAGGATTCATAAAAATGAAATTTCAGCCTCTTTCCCCAGGCAAAGTTGCTTATGGTATTCCCTGAGGATTCATAAAAATGAAATTTCAGCTGTTTTCCCAGGCAAAGTTGCTTATGGTAAAAGTAAACCCCAGCCTGGAGAATCATAGCTAGACTGGAAGAACTGTGAATGAACTGTGCACACTAGACCTTCCTTCAGTGCAGCTGAACTTCTAACTGAGTCTTCTCCTAGCTGGGAACTGGACCCTAAATGTCCACAAGTTGGTGAAAGACATGTTGGTCCCTATTTGTACCTTGAGCCTTGTAAGAAAATGGCTTGCACATCACCTCCGGTGATCCCCCATCTCCCTTAAAGCTGCAGAGGAGCAGGGGATGGAGGGAAGCAGCCCCCAAACAGATGTCGGGTGGTGAGCTGAAGAGGCACAGCCATTTCTGCACCACCTTTCATCCTGTGCTGTATTTTTTCTTTTTTTTTTCTTTTTTTTTTTTTTTGGCCTATGCTACATTTTCTTTTTAATTTATTTTAAAATGTTTGTTACATTCAATGACTGCATACCATTACAGGATACCAAATTGAATTTCCCATCATGAATACACTGCCTATTGGTTCAGTCAAAGAAATTACCATACATGTCATCATCAACAGATCATTTTCCATTTTTGTGTCCCTTAAATGTTCTGCTTCTTT